TGTGCTGTATTGAGAGCTGAGGAGGGAATTCATAGCTTCCAAATGATTAGTTGACTATTTCCATCCACAATCATTGTCCCTAAGAGATTTCCCCAGCTCTGTCAATTATCAGTGTAATATAGATGAGAAAATCCCCCAGGTGACTGTTTATTACCTTTGAATTTCTTCATTATGGTCTCCAGAGATGCATTTCTTTGAGAAGATTCCCAGATTCTCCATTTCAGTTCAGAAGAAAAGGCCACTGGGTTCTGAAACGTCTCCCTCTCACATCTGAAGAACAACCCAGTGTTACTCGCTGTGGAGTTCGGTCATATTTGTGTTTTACTAACATGTGTTTTACTCCAGTGAATGGTTGTAGCTCAGCAGACCCTGGAGGCTTAAAGTCTCTATTGCCCCAGGAATAGGTCCAATCCCAGCTTGGACACTACAAGCTTCCCCTTCATTTTGGTGAGACCGATATTGGAAAACTGCATCCAGTTCTGGTGTCCCCAGTTTAAAATGGACGTTGAGAAAGTGGAGACGGTGCAGAGAAGACCCACAAAACTGATTTGAGGGCTGGTAAAAATGCCTTGCACTGAGAGAACCCTGGCACTTGAGTGTGGGGTATAAATACCGTCATGAGGAGAACAGACTTGGTACTAAAGGGCTCCTCAGTTTCGCAAACAAAGGCACAACAAGGACCAACTTCTGGAAGCTGAAGCCAGAGAAATTCCAATGGGAAATCAGACAGACATTGTTAACAGTGCAGGTGGATTAACCATTGGAAGAAACTGCCAAGGGAAGTGGTGGATTCTCCATCTCTGGATGGGCGCCAGAACACAGGGGCCGTGGCCCCATCAAATTTAGAAGTGGGAGAGCTCTGCACTCTCCCTTTATACCTGCCTTAAAGGCAAGTGATGGGGGGAGGGGGCGGAGAGGACGAGCAGGGGGCAGGGTCTCGGGGGAAGAGGCGGAGCAGGGGTGGGGCCATGGTTTGGGCACCGGTGGCCCCCCACACACACTTCTACGGAGCTTCAAGCGTTACTGTCTGTTGATGTCTTCAAATCTAGACTGACTGGCTTTCTGGAAGGTGCTTTAGTCAACACACGTTAGGATTTAGTCAAATACAAGTTATTGAGGTGAATACATGAATAACGGGGTGAAATTTAAGGACCTGTGATACATAGACATCGACTCAGTGGGTGCTCTGGGGCTGGAGCACCCACAGAGAAAAATAGCCCCACAGATCAGCTTCCCCCCCTACCCCCCACTGCCTCCTGACTGCTAGCTGGCCCTGACTCCCAGCGCCTCCCCGTGCTTCCCAGCGCCTCCCACCCACCGGGAATCAGCTGTTCAGCAGCGGGCAGGATACCCAGGGGATGAGGGGGTGGAGCAAGGGCAGGAAGAGGCTGGGCGGGGCCTTGGGGAAGGGGTGGAGTGGGGGAAGGGCCCGGGGCCAAGCAGGGGTCTAACACCCCCAGGGGAATGAGAAAGTGGGAGCCTGTGCTGTGATATACAGGAGATCAAATGTGATGATCTCACAGTCCTTTCTCGCCTTCAACTTTAGGCATTTATGAAACTCAGTAATATCGTGCGGCAATGAGTTCCACAGGTTAATAATGAATTGTGTGAAAAAAGGGTATTTCCTTTTCTCAGCTTTACACTAGTTGCCTTTCAGTTGCACTGAACATCCCCTCGGTCTTGTATTGTGCGTGTGGCTGAGCAGGATCCCCTGACTTATATCCTGTACACCATTTAAGGGAGATAATTAGTGACAATCCTTGTGGTGATGTAGACACACATCGTACCAGGACCTGGTGTGAGACCCACTAACCCATTTCAAAGATAATTTATGTTCTTATCTAGTTCTTTGGATACATACAATGGTCAGTCCACTAGCACAGGGGTTCTCAGCTTACAAAGGCCAGTGTGTGTCCACTCCACACTGAGGGACGGCAAACTACTGAATGAACTTGCACTGCCCGAGGGAGCCTTGAGCAGTGTGAGTCGGTGCAGTTCTGGGGGGCAGGGCTGAAGCTGGGGGGAACTGGCTGGTGCCTTCTATTGCTGGTTCATCAATGGCTGGGAGATGATTCATGTAACACAGCTGGGCGGGTCCCTGCCCGTAGGTGTCTGTGTCAGCGCAGGGCCTGTCAGGCTTGTAGCTTGACATCAGCATCACAGTGCGAGAGGCAGCCCAGGTTGGGGATTTGGAGGGCTCCCCAGTCCCACAGTCCAGGTTGCGCCCTGGGAACCCGTCACACTGATGTAAATCTCCCTTGTGGCCAATTAAACCGATTACTTCTTGTTCTGCCCTCAGGGGACTTGAAGACCAAGCAGGGCCGGCTCCAGCATTTCTGCCGCCCCAAGCAATCGCGATCGGCGGCAGCAATTGGGAAAAAAAAAAAACGTTGCAATCGGCGGCGGCAGTAGGTCCTTCGCTCCTAGAGGGAGTGAGGGACCTGCCGCCTCCGAATTGCCTCAGGTGCCTCCCCTCTCCCTTGGCCGCCCCAAGCACCTGCTTGTTAAGCTGGTGCCTGGAGCCAGCCCTGAGACCAAGTGATCACCGCTCTCTGTAGAACAGCCTCAGACAGATTTGAAGACTTATCAGGCCCTGCCTCAGTCTGCTCTTCTCTAGACTAAACACACCCATTTATTTCAACCGATCCTCATAGCTCATCCATTCTAAACCTCTGATTTTTGTTGCTCTCCTCTGAACTTTCTCCAATTTTTCCACATCTTTCTGAAAGTGCGGTGCCCAAAACTGGACACAGGATTCCAGCTGAGGCTTCACAGTGGCAAGACGGGTGTGGGGAGGGATAGCTCAGTGGTTTGAGCATTGGCCTGCTAAACCCAAGGTTGTGAGTTCAATCCTTGAGGGGGCCACTTGGGAATCTGGGGCAAAATCAGTACTCGGTCCTGCTAGTGAAGGCAGGGGGCTGGACTCAATGACCTTTCAAGGTCCCTTCCAGTTTTAGGAGATGGGATATCTCCATTAATTAATTAATTTATTTATTTAACAACGTCCCCCTGTGTCTGACATTGACACTCCTGTTAATACATCTGTGGTGGGATGTTCTCCCCACATCAGCCCTCGAAAAGAGTGAAGGAAGCTGAGAAAGAGGAGATTAGTGAGACAGGCCACACATGAGGGGTTTAGGCCAGAGAAGTAACCCCTGATTGGACAATGAAACTCAGCTGAGCAGGTGGGGGCTGGGCTAGGATAAAGCCAGGAAGCTGGCAACAGACATTGGCTGCAGTGAGAAGTCTGCAGCCAGGGCCGGCTCCAGGGTTTTGGCCGCCCCAAGCAGCCAAACAAAACAAAACAAAACAAAACAAAAGCCGCGATCGCGATCTGCGGTGGCAATTCGGCGGGAGGTCCTTCGCTCCGAGCAGCAGTGAGGGACCATCCGCCAAATTGCCGCCGAACAGCTGGCAGAACAGCCCTCTCCGAAGTGGCCGCCCCAAGCACCTGCTTGGTAAGCTGGTGCCTGGAGCCAGCCCTGTCTGCAGCCCCCCTCTGTGCATTCGAAAGGGAACGAGGGAACCCAGGGGAAGAACAGCATGCTGGGAGCCGGGCCCTGACAGAAGGGAGTACTTAGAATTATAGGGCTAGAAGGGACTGCTAAGGTCATCGTCTCACCCCTATAAAAGAGAAGGGTGGAGAAGAAAGCCTATGGGAGGTGAGTAGGAAGCAGCCCAGGGAGAGAGCAGACCTTGCCTGCATGTGGTAGGGTCCCTGGGCTGGGACCTGGAGCAGTGGGTGGGCTCGAGTTCCCCTACCAGCCACTGATGGAGCGGCATTGCCTGGGCAGTGGGACCAGGGAGACTCTGTACCCCAGAAGGGGAAACCATTTAGTGATCTGGCTGGAGGCTGAGTCACGGAGAGGAAGCTGCATCTGCTGGAGCGAGAGAGG